GGAGGGAGGGAGGGAGAGAGAAGAATAATGGTGGTGACGAGTTTGCAACCCACAAAACAAAACACATTTCATGTAAACACAATGGTTATTTTCCGTCCAAATATTTATTAGAAATTCCACTTACCCTAGCTCCATGTGGGAAGTCAAATAAAAAGGTCATAATTTTATCAGTAAAACGATAATCGCTGTTTGTCAAAAGGAATACTTTGGCACCACTGTCATGAATTCTTGATAGAAACATGGGCAACCTCTCATCTTTCTTGACATACTCCTCCAAATTTTCTACAGTGCGTAATTTCAAATCACCCTTTAAAAAGATATGAAAAAAGCAAATGAGAATTAAGTTACTTAAAAAAAATGACACAATGATAATGACAGTTTCTGTTAGAATCAAGGTATTAAAATTTGAAGCAAAAAAAGGCAAATAAAAAAACATTTCAATAGCGAGACAAACAGAAACCATTATTTTTTATTATATACAAAGGGCATTCGATAATTAAAGAGAAATTGATGTGAGGAAATAAATGTTTGGTTACAAATCGGGCCTTTTCCAACTTTTCAATATAATCTCCACCTTTTACAGACTTGTCCCAATAGGTTACAACCTTTTTCAATCCGGTTGCAAACCTCTCTTTATCTTAGTGTTTGAACCAATTTCCCCAAAATTTGTTGGCATCCTGGAGCTTCTTCTTAAGTAATGCCTCCACCAGTGAACTAAACAAATGCAAATCAGATGGTGCTGAATTGGATCTGAAAGAGGGATGAAGGCAGTACCACTCAAACCTTTTTTCGATGGTTTCACAGGTTTGTTGCGCAGCGTGATGATGTGAATTGTCTTGCTGGAGAATCACGCGTCTCCTCTGAGATCCACAACATTTTCCTGGCTTCATTTTTACCATTTTCAAAAGCATAATTGAGTAATATTGGCCAAATGACAATTGTACGCTGTTCTTCGAGATACAAACAAAAAACTCACCCACAGTGTCCCAAAACACTGTTAACATGACTTTTCCCACTGATGCGGCCAGAATGTTCGACAATTATGTCTCAACCACTTTTCAATTGTTCTACACACTTCTGCAAATTCTTGTGTTTCATACAACTTACATCATTCACTTTAATCATTATAAAGCAGAGTTAGCCAACTGGTAGCCTGTGGGCTGCGGGTGACCTGTGATGCTCTTTTCTGTGGCTGGCGAAAGGTTACACAGGTCAATGTTAATTTAGTCACAAAAAGGAAAACCAGTGATACCAATTAATATCACAATACCTGCATTCGAAATTGACAGTTAGATTAGATTGGACTTTTATGCAATGTATATTTGCCAGTTTTTACCATTTTGTAGGAACTTTTTTTTGACATCAAAAATATATACAAAAACACCCACACACAGAGAAAGAGAGAGAGAGAGAAAGAGAGAGAGAGAGA